GAAGGAACTGGGTTCCTCTGGATGCAAGGTATCAGGAAGCAGTGGTGGTTCCAGGCCAAGAGGTCAGCTCCCCACATCCAGGAAAGAGGGTGCTAGGTTGTTCAGCCCAGAGAAGCAGAGGGAGGTGAGGGCGGGACCAGGCCCAGAGGGATCCTGGGGACCCCACAAGGAACTGGGTTGGTCTGTATGCCAAGAGTCAGGAAGCAGTGGAGGTTCTAGTGGTGTCTGGGGTGCCAGGACAAGGAAAGTGACAGGACCCAGGCTAGGAGGAGGAGAGAAGGGCAGGAAAGATGGAAGGGTGAATGAGGCTAGGGAAGTCAAGGCATGGAGGGCCCAATCCACTTACTCAGGAGAGAGGCCAGTGGGTCATGCAGGCCCAGGGAAGCAGAGGGAGGTGAGCACCTTTATATTTTTTAAAATATTTTATTAATTTTATTTTATGTGTATGAGTGTATTGCCTGCATGTATGTGAGTGCACCGGTGTCGTGCAATGCCACAGAGGTCAGAAGAGGGCTTCAGATTCCCTTGGAACTGGAGTTAAGGATGGTTCATAGCTGCCATGTGGGTGCTGGGAATCGAACAGCGGTCCTCTGCAAGAGCAGTCAGTGCTTTCAACCGCTGAGCCATCTCTCCAGCCCCAGATTCACCTATATTTTAAACTGAATTACTTGTCTGGGTTTTTGTGTGTGTGTGTGTGTCTTGTTGAATTGTTTGATGTTTTTATATTTGTTTATTCTTGATATTAAACTTCTATCAAATACACAATTTTATTGAATTTCATAGTTTGCCTTTTGGCTGTGCTGTCTCCTTTAACATGCTTTCAGGTCTGATGTTGTCTTTGTTTCTATTTTTACCACTGTCACCTGTGCTTTTGTGAACCTATCCAAGGAAAGGAACCATTGCCAATTTCAGAGCATGCAGTTTTCATGGTGGGTCTCAGTGGGTCTTTAATAACTTTCCTTGTGTACTGATGATTGAACCCAGGGACTCACACATACTAGGCAAGTGCTCTACCGCTGCACTATATGCCCAGCACTCCCTTACTTTTTATTTTGATACAGGGTTTCATTAAGTTTTCCAGGCTGTCCCTGAACAGAGTCCTTGGGGACTCTAACCCAAGCAGTCCTTGAACTTGCCATCCTCCTGCCTCAGCCTCCCCAGGAGCTAACATTACAGGTCTGTGGTACTTGGCCAAGCCTTTAATTCACTTTGACTTAACTTTTATTATATAATCCATAAGGGTCCAATTTCATTCTTGAATAAAGGAATAGCCAGCTTTCCACTGGAGTCTGCCCTTTCTCTCCATGCAATGTCAGCTCCCTTGGTGAAGACCTTTAACCACAAATATGACATTTATTTCTGAACTCTATTGTGTTCTGTTGGTCTATGTGTCTGTTTTTGTGCCCATTATCACATTGTTTTGCTTACTGTAACTTTGCCATGTGTTTTGAATTTGGAAAATGTGAGGCTTCCAGCTTTTTGTAATTTGGAGTCCCTTGAGGCTCCACGTGCATTTTGGAAATTTTTCTTTTTTGCAAAAAGTACTATTATAGCTGGGTGTGGTGACATACATGCCTTGGTCTCAGCATTTGGGAGGCAGAGGCAGGAAGATCTCTAAGAGATGGAGGCCAACCTGGTCTATGTACTGAGTTCCAGGCTAGTTGGGGCTACAGGGAGACCCTGTCTCAAAAAAAAAAAAAAAAACAAAACCTTCTGTAATTTTGATAGTGATTGCATTGAATGTGCGGATAGCTTTGGGTAGTATGGATATTTTAATAATATGCATCTTCTGATCCACAATCATGAGCTATCTTTCCATGTATTTTGCTTTCTTTAATTTCTTTCAGTAATGTCTAGTGTTTTTCTGTGTACAGATCTTAGTTTCCCTAGTTACTCTTCTTGATTTTTTGTTGTTGTTGTTGTTCTTGTTCTTGGTTTTTGTGTTTTGCTCTGTTTTAGGGCCTTTATAAAAATTGGTTTGTTTTAATTTTATGTGTACAAGTGTATTGCCTACATGTATGTAAGTGTACCCATATCATGCAATGCCCATGGAGACCAGAAAAGGGCATTGAATCCCCTGCAATTGGAGTTACAGACAGTTGTTAGTCATTATGTGGATGCTGGAAACCAAACCTGGTTCCTCTGCAAGAGCAGCCAGTGCTCTTAACCACTAAGGCATCTCTCCATTACCACCCCTCCACCCTCCACCTCACCCCTTTATTTATTTATTTATTTATTTATTTATTTATTTATTTATTTATTTATTATTTATTTGAGATGGGGTCTCACTATGCAGCTCTGACTAACTTGAAATTTGATATGTGCACCAGATCTGTCTACCTCTTCCTCCTGAGTGCTGGGATTAAAGTCATGTGCCCCTATGTCCAGCCTTTTCTTTTTTTTTTTTTTTTTTTTTTTTTTACTTTTACTTTTGAGACAAGGTCTCCCTGTAGCCCCAGCTGGCCTGGAACTCACTACGTAGACCAGACTGGCCTTGAACTGCCTGCCTGCCTCTATTCACTGTTTAAGTGTGAAGAAACACAATCAATTTTTATGTTAATTTTCTGTGCTACAACTTTGCTGGATTTATTTACTGCCCCTAGCGTGTTATTTATAGAATCTATAAGGTTTTGTACATGTAAGATAATGCCATCTAAAAAAAAATTTTCTTCTTCCTTTCCTTTGTTGTTACTTTTTCTCGCCAATTGCTCTAGAAAACTTTTAGTACCAAGTTGAACAGAAGTGACAAAAGTGAACCAGTTTGTCTTGTTACTGACTTGAAAGAGAAAACTGTGTTTTTCACTGTTGAGAATGATGTTAACTGCAGGCTTTATATAGCTTTACTTTTTAAAATATAAGGTTTGGGGCCAAAGGAGATGGCTCAGCGGGTAAGGGTGCTTGCCACCAAGCCTGACAATCTGAGTTCCATCCCAGGGTCCCATATGGTGGAAAGAAAAAAACAACTCCCACACATTGTTCTCTGACCACATTCATGTTTGGCATGCACACATTCACAGACATATGCACACAACAATAAAATAAATAAACGTAATTTTAAAATAAAATATAGGGTCTGACTGAGAGTAGTGATGACCACTTTACACCCAGCACGGATGAGGTGGGAGGACAAGTTTAAGACCATCTTGGGCAATTTATTGAGACTTTGTTTCAAGAAACAGCCATATCAAAATCAAAATCTTTATATATATATATATATATGTGTGTGTGTGTGTGTGTGTGTGTGTGTATGTGGTTTGGGAGTTATTGAATTATTGAATTTGGCAGATGCTAGTCTGGCATTAGAAATGACAGCCCAGGGGGCTGGAGAGATGGCTCAGTGGTTAAAAGCACTGGATGTTCTTGCAGAGGACCTGGCTTCAATTCCCAGCACCACATGGTGGCTAACAACCATCTGTAACTCCAGTTCCAGGGAACTCTGATGCCCTCTTCTGACCTCTGCAGGTACTGCAAGACACGGGTGCACTTACATGCATGCAGGCAATACGCTCATACACATAAGATAAAAAATAAAATATTTTTTTAAAAAAGAAATGACAGCCTGGCGGGGGTATAGATAAGTGGCAGGGTGCTTACCTAGCTCATGTGATGTTCTGGTTTTGATCTCCAGGATCAGAAAGGAAGGGAGGCAGGGAGGGAGGGAAGGAGGGAGGAAGGGAGGGAGGGAGGAAGGGAGAGAGGACAAAAGGAAGGGGAAGAGGATCAAAGGAAAGAAGAGGGGCATGCCCAGGATGACCAACTGACAGTAAAAAGTATGCATCTGGGTTTGCAGCAGCATGGTTTATGTAGATATATAGGACACATTTGTCTTATGTGTTCTCTCACACTTAGGTTTCAGAGGAAGTGGTTATTAATGCTTTACACAGGAAGCATATCCAACTTACATAATCATTTGCCTGGATGGACCTTTAGAGCCAACCCCCTTGCTTTACACATGTGCACTAATGAACCGGCTATTATAATAAATGGCAAATGTTCTTCTTGGGTCTGTTGAAGGAGAACCTGAAAAGAAACTAATCACTTTCCTAAAGCATTCCATGGTTTCAGAGACTCACAATCTCTAACTATATAAATTTTTTCATTCAAACTTGAATGAGGCAGCAGAAGGAAAGCTGATCTGAGAATACAGAGTCATATTCTGTTGAGTAACAGAGCCATGCTGGGTACAAAAACATCAGTAAGTGAGGAGATCGAACTGTGATTGCAGTTACAGGAAATTAAGAAATATGACCTTGAACAGGACCAAATTGCATTTAGGAACTGTGACTTGTGTTAGTTTTGTGTATTAAGCGACAAGCTGAGTTGGAATTAAATGAGGGAGAGCTGCTTCATTCACTTGTGTACCAGCTGCTCCCTCAGTCCAAGAGTGAATAAGGCATGCTCTAAGTGGCAATACGGGATGCTGTGAAGAGCAGACACACCCACACATCCCTGTGAGAAGTGGCAGAGATAAGCACCAAGAGGGAGGGAGGAGACAGCTACTGGCTATGCACACTGCTAACTATGTAGTTCCTCTTCAACCTCGATGGTCTCTCTCTTCATTAGTGACCCCTGAGGAAGATCAACGTCCTTAGCTCACCAACAGCCAATATTTCACTGGCTAGTGTGCTTTCTCAACATCCACTTCCTTCTCACCAACCTGCGCTCATTTACTTGCTTTCATCCCACTATATAACCTCACAATTCCTGATGGTCAAGTTCTCTGTGTTTTCACTCTTTTGAGCATGGAGGTGAAGGAAAAAACACCAGACAACGAGATGGACCCAAGATGCAGAGCCAGAGAGAGGAGTCATGAAACCTTAGCACAGCTGCAGAATTAAAACAAAAAATGTCAAGGGAACAGAGTGTTCCAGCTGACTGAACTTCCTGTTGATAGTCTCTGGGGAGGAGGGGTGGGGCCTGGAGTCCTAGAATTGGGGTAGAGGAAGGGCAGGGGGCTGGTGGGGTGGGACTTGCCTTTTCATGTGCAATCACCCACGAGCTGGGTTCCCATCTGCTAGGCTGTTGACACTCATTTCCTGAGACTGGCCATGGTCAGAGGAGGCTTCTGGGGACTGATGTGCCCAACCTACAGAAAAACAGGATGTTAGCTTTCAGATCTGACTGAGCCATGAGATGCAGATTCCTCCTTCTCCTCACCCCCACCCCACTCCTCAACCACTGCCACCCACACCATTCCCTTTTCCGCTGGAGAGGCCATTCATCTGCCTCTGTAACTTCTATCAGACCTGCTTGTGTCCTTTGCTTCCTTGCCAGCCCTGCCTTGTGGGGTCAGGTTTAGTGTTTAACTCATTTCATTATGCTTTCAGATTTATGATGGTTTTGATATTAGGAGTACCTTACAACTCTGTGGGTGACTGTTGAGAATTCTCATCCAATAAAGGAAGGAGAATAGGTTAAGCAATCTTGTTATCTCAGAGAACCTGTGGTAGTGAGCTTGAGTCTCCAGTCCTCACCTGGGCCTCTTTGCTGGCAGGGCCTGGATAGTCCCTTTCTTTTCTCTGCTCACTCTAACCCCTTCTTTCACTCTTTGTTGCTGCCCAAAAGCCCCATCTTGTGCAAATGAAGGAAACAGAAACAAAGAAGAAACCAGAAGCAGTTCTGCTCAGGTTCAGTTATCTCCCAAAATGCAAATATCACCTGTTTTCCCAGGGAAAACACCAAATGCAAAATATCCCCAGAGCAATACTCTGGGTGTAGCTGACTTTCCACAGAGATGGTAAATTCCAGGCTTATGCCCTCTCAAAGGCTGATATGCACCCTTTTGGAACATATACTGCCAGGTTGAGGAAGCCTGGAACTGCCCTCTGATGAACACTCAGCCCTCTTCCCTCACTCTTCAGGCTCCTAGAGCTCTTTGCTCTTGACTTTCCGCCTGGAACCCTGCTGTCCCTCTCTGCCAACCACACCTAGGTTTACTTCCTCTTGCCCCTGGGCTTCCTGGACTAGTCCATCCTTGTCAACTTGTCTTCCTCAGGACTCAGCATGACCCCATTGTCTACTGTTTCAGGGTTGTTAGTTAGTTTTTTATCAACTTGACACAAACTAGAGTCACTGAGGAAGAAGGAACCTCAGTTGAGGAACTGCTTCTATCAGACTGGCCTGTGGGGCTTTTTTTTTTTTTTATTGCTAATTGATGTAGGTAACGGGGCCCAGCCCACTGTGGGCGGTGCCATCCCTAGGTAGGTTGGCGCTGTATAAGAAGGTAGCTGAGGGCTGGAGAGATTGCTCAGTAGTTAAGAACACTGTTCTTGCAGAGGACCCAGGTTCGATTCCCAGCACCCATAATGCAACTAACAACCATCAGTAATTCCAGTTCCAGGGGACTCCAATGCCCTCTTCTGACCCCCATGGGCATTGTACAATGCAGGTGCACTTACACAGATGCAGGCAATAAACTCATACACATAAAATAAAAATAACAAATAAAATATTTAAAAAGAAAAGAAGTGTTGCCAAGCAAGTCAGGGGAAACAAGCCAGTAAGCAGCATTGCTTTATGGTCTCTGCTTCAGCTCCTGTCTCCAAGGTCCTGGCTTCAGCTGCTGATCTGGCTTCCCATGATGATGAACTGTAACTTGTAAAGTGAAATAAATCCTTTCTTCCCTTAGTTTCTTTCAGTCAATGTTTTATCACAGCAGCAGAGAAACAGACTAGAACAAGGATATTTGGTACCATATTTAATTTCCATTTCTGTTATTGTCTTCTCAATTAAATGATAATCTTATAAGAGATAGCACCCCTGAGCTTGCCTTGTGTTGCCTACGGTATAGCTACACAAGGGGCGAAAGCCTTAAGTCATAAACAGATCAGAAAGTAGGAGGCAAATTAAGATATCTGAATTTAGAGAATGTAATTGTGACATACTTCCAAAGAACAAAATCATAGAGGAAAACTTCAGCACCAAGAATTGCCAACATATACAATGGAAAAAGAGGGGTGAATTAATGAGTTGTTATGTGGTAATGTTTAAAAAAGATGGTAGATCCTAGGAAAAAAACTATATATATTTATTTGTGTACTATTTAATTTTGGATAACCTAAAAATTGTTTCCAAAATGATACAATATTCAATATGGTGAAATTTATTCAAAATTGTGCTACGACATCCTCCTCCTCTTCCATGTCCTCCTCCTCCCTCCTCCTCCTCCTCCTCTTTTTTCTTTTCTTTCTTTCTTTCTTTCTTTCTTTCTTTCTTTCTTTCTTTCTTTCTTTCTTTCTTTCTTTCCTTTTTCCCTTTCCTTTTCTGGCATGTATAAGTATAAAAGTACAGAACTGCATGTGAACTCAGAATATTCAAGAACACTATGTAAAGTACAGAGGAGAAGAAATAAGGTCCAGAGAAGTCTTTCAAGATTAGACTGCAGCCAAGCACAGATGCTTGTAAAAAGTAGGTAGAAATCAGAAAGGCTTGGCTTTAACTGAACATGGAATAGATGGCTTGGAATTAAGTGAATGTAGAATCGTGTCGTGAATGAAGCTTGTGTGCTACCTGGACCTGCCCTTGGTTCGATGCTTTTCTTCATGAGATAGTATGGCAGTCTTTCTTGCTACTGTGACAAGAAGTGTATTTATCACACTTACGTGTAGCACTATTCTAAGTATTGTATGTGTATTAACTCCTTTATTCTTTACAACCCAATGCAGTTAGTTCCCTTTCCTCCATTTTACAGAATAATCTGACAGGAAAAATCAAAGTCACAGTTGGACCCAGGATGTATGATGTCTTCTATGCTATATATTCTCTGCTGCAACACTGCTGTGACTGCTCCATTTTTAGGAGGACATGCAAGAACTGGATTCAGAATGAATGAACTACCCTTTTGCACGGATCTCGTGTCTATTCATTCTCTGTTTCACTCATCCAACATGTATTGACACAAATTTGAAGTCGGTGCTTATCATAAAACCCAAGACAGAATGGACTGTGCCTTCATTAACCTTAAAACATTTAGTGGGGCATCAAGAAATTAAGCAGGCAATTACAAAGTCTTTACAGTGACAGGACTAGGCCAGGAGGGAGATGGCACATGAGAAGCACATCTCTTCTGAGTGCTAGAAGTGGGGAAAGGGATGGTAGTGATCAGACTGTCTTCGTAGAGGATGCCTCAGCTAAGAATCGAAAGGTAAGTAGGAGTTAGCTTTCTGCAAAGCAGGAATTGTATTCCAGGTAAAGGCAAGAGCCTTTTGGAGGCCTAAAGTAATTAAATACAACCTGAGTGAGGAATACCCGAGTGAGTTGTTCTGCTGTTTGTTTGTTTGCTGGCTTGCTTGTTGAGACAGTCTTGCTACCTAACCCAGACTGGCCTTGAACCCATAATCCTCTGCCTCTGCTTCCTGAGGGCTAAGACTGGGGGCTCTCTTGAGAAGAGGCTAGAGGCATAAGCATGACCATGTCATGAAAGGGTATGAATGAGTTATATAAGAAGTTAGGCTTTATTCTGAGGGTTCTTGGAACCAGACCGGTGTTTTAGACAGATTGCTGCTTTTAGAGTGCAAACTAGAGGGAAGGAGATGATGATCAGTGTTTGGCTGGGAGGAGCACAACTGAGGATGGAGGGGGATAGTGCAGCACCATTGGGGCTGCATAGGGCTGGGGCTGGAGGAGGAAGGAGGCAATCCATGGGAGTTGGAGGATTCAAGAGGAGGGCATCTAACTAGGTCTGTGGAGCAGTGGTCCTGTGGAGATCCAGAGATCAGCCCCTTAGGGAAACCAGCAACGTTGAGGACAGGAGCCAGATTCCTCAGCAATGGGAAGGAAATATACAAAAACGCAAAGGAGAAACTAGAACGAAGCCTGCTGTTGAACTGGAAGCATTGGCAGGAACTCATGGTTTTCAGTCTATAGAAATAAATGTAGCAATAAATGCATGTGCATGCGTGTATCTATTTCCTACGATGCACTGAGCCAGCCAGGGAGCAATGGTGCCCTAGCAACAGCTTCACACAGAGCCCAGGTCTTGGTTTCTGACCATTCTCCACTGAAGACACACCACCTTCCTTCCTCAAGACTCTTTCTACCATCACTTATGAAACTCATGAGAACACGTGTGCCTTGTGTCTTCATTTCAATTTATCTAGTTTTGCCCCTCAATGACAGTCACTAGTGGCAGAATGAATTAGGGGCTTTTTGTGTTTATTTGTTTTGTCACATTCTCAGGATAAGGCTGTGTGCTGGATAGCTTTAGTGTCAACTTGACACACCTGGGTTGAGGGAACCTCAATTGGGGAATTGCCTTCATTGGACTGGCCTGTAGCCATGTCCATGGGGTACCTGCTTGATGAGTGATGTGGGGGGGCCCAGCCCACTGTGGGTGGTGCCACCCCTGCGCAGGTGGGCCTGTGTTGCGTAAGAAAGGCTGAGCAGGGGCCAGGGGAGCAAGCCAGTAAACAGTGATACCTTGGGCTCCCTGATGAACTGTGACCTGGGAGATGTAAGACAAATAAACCCTTTCCTCCCCAAGTTGGTAGTGGTCAGAGTGTTTTGTCACAGCAGTGAAGAACAAACTAGGACAGGCTGAAACAGATACAGCTAGCTCTCTCTCTCTTACTGCAACTCTGCATCCGTGGATTCAATCAATTATGGATTGATAATATTCAAGAAAAAATGCATCTGTATTGATTCCATATAGACTTCCCTTTGTTCTTATTCCCAAACAACACAGCAAGTACTGATATAGCACTTACACTATACTAGCCATTAAAGGTAATCTCAGGCCAGTATAGATGGCTCAGTGGGTAAAGGTGCTTGCCACCAATGCTGACAACCTGAGTTCAATCCCCAGAACCCACAGGGTTGAAAGAGAGAACTGACTCCTGAAAGTTCTCCTCTGCCTGCACACATATCATGCATTCACACACACTGACACAGTAAATAATAATTTAGAGAAGATTTAAAATATACAAGACTGTATGCATAGCTTATATGCAAGTATCATGCCATCTTATAAAATACTTGAGTGCCCACAGATTTGAGTATCTGTGGAAGGGAGGGCCAGTGTTCTTGGAACATCACATTGACTACTGAGGGATAACTGTATGTTTTAGTGACTATGTTCACTAAAGGATATTTGCTTCTTGCTTCTGATTTTAAAAGTAGATAATCAAGTTGGGAGTGGTAGCACACACATAATCACAGCACTGAGGCAAATGGATTTCAATTTTGAGGCCAGCTTGGACACAGGGAAATTGTGCTGGTTAGGTTTTTTTTAAAAAAAAATTTAATTTTATATGTGTGAGTGTTTTGCCTGCATAGATATAAGTGCGCCACATGCATGCAATGCCCACAGAGGTCAGAAAGGCATTGGATCCCCCAGAATTGGAGTTAATAGATGGTTGTTAGCTACCATGTCGGTGCAGGGAACCAAACCCAGGTCTTCTACAAGACCAGCCAGTGCTCTTAACTGCTGAGCCATCGTTCCAACCCTTGTGCTGGTTAGTTTTAACTGCAAGCCTGACAGAACCTAGAATCATTTGGGAAGAGAGTCTTAATAAGGAATTATCTGATTAGGATTGGGCTGTTAGCACACCTGTGGGGGATTGTCTTGATTTCTAATTGATCCATCCCACTGTGGGTAGGACCATTCCCTAGGCTGGGCCCTGAACTATATAAGAGTAAAGAAAGCTATCAGCAAGCAAGCAAACAAACAAGGAAGGAAGCAAGCAGTGACTATGTGCCCATTCTCTCTCTGCTCTTGACAGTGTTTGTGATACTTTAAGTTCCTGCCTCAAGTTCCCTGTGGTAATGGACTGTAACCTGGAATTGTAAGCCAAATAAATTCTCTCCTCCTCTACATTGCTTTTGGTGAGGGTGTCTTGTTACAGCAATACAAATAAAACTAGAACAGAGACCCTGCCTCAGATTTCTAAATTAATAAATTATCTAATGAATAAAAAAATGATCAACAGGGAGACCACTTATGAAAACATAATTGATCAGAACCCCTTGCAGGGTTGAATAGTAATTGAATAGTAAATCAATTACTATTTATAGTTTTTGATGATCTTTTCACATCCTGGGTCTATTCTCCCCTGGGTCTTAGAGCTGACGCTATGCAATGTTTAGAAGGCTCTGCCTTTAATGTAAATGCACAGATTCTACCAATCCACTTCGATGTTCATTCATTTATCCAGGGATTCATTCATTAAATATTTGTTGACAGCCTACTATGTGCTGGGGCTGTGTCCATGGGCTCCTCCTATCCTGTCTCTCCCTGGCTGGAGCTGAACTTCCGTTCTTAGTCCTGCACAAGCCTCTATTTCTTGCTTGTTTGGGTCAGATTATCAGGGTGTGTGAGGGGAAGGCTCAGGGTGAGCATGGAGGAAATGGGTCCTTCTGAGCCAGCTAGACCTTGGAGAGTGGAAGCAGGGGGACCAACTAAGAGTCACTTTCTCTTCCTCTTGGTTGTCAGCAGAACTGGGTGTTTACCAGCAGGGTTTGTCTCCCCTCTGGTTTCTGGGATCTTCTAAAGAGGTGGGAGTGAGTACATATCCCAAACCTACTCCTGGTTGCTGAATGCAGCTTTGGGCTTCCCTGTTCCACTCCACTCCTTAGCAGCAGGGTGCCGCTGGACCGAACAGCTCTGGAGCAGCAGCCTACTTTGTACCTGACCCCAGGAGAATGGAGAGACTGTAGTGTTTTGCTTCTTGAGTCACCTGTTGTCAGCCTGGGCGGCAGGAGAGCAGCTGCATGTCACCTTGGTGGTTGTGATGTTATCTGGGGCTAACGGTTTCCTCTGAGTTGGCACTCCTGTCTGTAGAGCCAGAGACCTGTGCAGCCATCTCTGAGTGGAAAGGCTCTAGGAAAAAGGGACAAGTCAGCCTGATCTGGAGGTGCATGGCTGTTATCCCAGCACTGGGAAGCTGAGGCAGGGTAAATAAAAAGTTTAAGATCAGTAAGATGTTTCTTTCTTGCTACCCCTCCTACCCTAGCATCCTTACTTCCTACAGCAGTGTGGATAGAATACAGGAACTCGTTGGCTGGGCCCCAGAATGCCTGACTCTAAATAAAAGGAATATGGGTCTTTATCCATCTGAAGATTGTACATAAGACTATGCAATATTAAAATAGCTACTCTTTGGCCAGGCATGATGGCACATGCCTTTAATCCAATACTAAAAAGGCAAAGGCGGGGTCTGGAGAGATGGCTCAGTAGTTAAGAGCACCCGCTGATCTTGCAGAGGACCCAGGTTCTGTTCCCAGCACTCACATAGTGTGACCAACAACCATCCATAACTCCAGTTCCAGGGGATCTGACCCCCTCTTCTGACTTCTGAGGGCATTTCGTGACACAGGTGCACTTACATACATTCAGGGAATACACTCATAAAATTAAAATAATAATTTGTTTTTGTTTTGTTTTGTTTTGACAGGGTCTCCCTAAACCAAGCCCACCTGGAAGTCATTATGTGGACCAGGCTGGCCTGGATCTCACAAAGATCTGCCTGCCTTTGCCTCTGGAGGGCTGGGATTAATACCTGGTGTTAAATATTTTTTTAAAAAGGCAGAGGCAGGCAGATCTTTCTGAGTTCTAGGCCAGCCTGATCTATATCAAGTTCCAGACCAGTCAGAGATACATAGTGAGACTCATAAAAATGCTGTTCTTTCCAGAGTGCCTACAGCATAGTAAAGATGAGGAAAATGAAGACCAGATAAGTGACTTCTAAAGCTAGAAAGTAGCAAACTGGAAGCCCTCCATCTGCCTGTTTCTGAAATCAGAAGTCTTGTCCCTATGCTCTGCTGAGTTCAATGAACTAGAAACCACCCTAACATTATGTTTTGCAAAGAAAGGTTTAAAAGGCCCATGACCTGAAAGTCCATAGACCAACTACGGACAGGACAGGCCTGTACAACATGGGGGAATTCTCAGATGGTTTCTGACAGTGGTTTCTCCCACAGCACCCACTAGCACCTGTACCACTGTGTACAACTGTGATGGCTCTTGCTCTCCCTAGCACAGAAGGTCAGGGCTTGGGGGACAAAGTTGGGGGATGCTTCAGGAAGACACACAGATATCCCTGTCAGCCAGTTCCCTGGATGCATTTCCCCTGGGAAATGGGATCCAGAAGCGGCATCTAAAGCTATAAACTGGTAGTAGACAATGGCCTTGGCACAGATTCAACTCCCTACATCCCTCCCACGTAGCCTCTTTGCTGTTCTGTGGGCTGTACAAACTGACCTCCCTAGGGAGTTACTAAGCTGGGCCTTATGGGAATTGGATGTTTAGGATTTTGCCCTTTACCATAGTGAATAGAAATTGAGAAACTGTCCTTTAGCAAGCAACCTGTAGGAGCAGATATTCCCACAAACCCCCATGCATATATGCATCAGAGCAAATGTGAAGGGAGATTTGCTTGGAAAACTTTGCTTGAGTTCCTCGTTCTCCCCACTCCCCATCCCACTCGTACACAGATAGACTCATAGTGGTTTCCTGAAGATGGAATTCTGGAAGGTGGACAGGAAAAGATGTCAAATCAAAGGTAGTCCTATTAGGCCATTGAGCCCAGGAAAGCAAGGCACAAGGTTAAGCAATAAAGGGAAGGGGGTGGGGAGGAGAAGGGGGGAGGCGGGGTCCTATAAAAGAAGGAAATGGGAAAGAGACGAAAAGTATGAAAGGGGAAAGAAAAATACATGTTAAAGGAGGGAAAAGTTGAAACTGTCTGCAAACGTGCAAAGCCCAGGGTCCTGAGAAACTTCGAGAGAAAGGGGGCCCGGTACTGCCCATCCCATGTTTGGGCAGATTAATGGAGTCGTGGCTCGCGCTCTTGAGTCCTGCCCTGGGAGGGACAGTATCTGTTTAGATTTGTGTCTAAATTTAAACCCCGATCCGGCCTCCCTCACTGCTCCCCTCCTCCCCTCCCCCTCAGTCCCTCCTCCTCCTCCTCCTTCCTCATTCTCAGGCGCAGGGCCCCCGGGCCGGGGCAGTCCCGCAGCCCAGCGGAGCCAGGCGCGCACCACCGCCCACTCGCCCTGTGCCCGCTGCAACTAGAACGTGGCCGAGTCTGCAAGTGAGTGGAGGGGACAGGGAGGATCGCGAGCTCCAGCGCGAGCCAGCGAGCGTGTCCGCCGTTGGAGGACAACCTGGAGGACATGGAGGTAAAGGACCCTGGCTGGGAACGCGGACCCGAGGGCGAGTGGGGTCCCTGGCGCTCCTGCCTAGGTCGCCGTCTCGGATCGCAGCGGGAAGCGGGTGGCTGTGGGCCCTGGACAGATCTCAAGAGGAAGCCGGGGCCCTTTCAAGGGATTCGGGCATTTTGGTTGTGCAGATACATGTGTTTTTAAGAATAAAGTTAAGCTAAGGTCATAAACGGATACAAGTGTAAGCAAAGAATTCAAGAAAGCAGCAACGTGCAAAGCAGCTCTGAAACAGAACTGGCTGGGACTTTGCAGGGCTGGCTTCCCCTTTCGCTTGTGGAATGGCTTTTAGAAAAGCCCGGTTGTCTTCTTCTCAAGTGCCTGTTTTGCCTGTCGCATCTTTCATAACTTTCTGAAAAGTCCCTTCATCCACAGTCGAATGACCTTACTTCTGATAAACTGGAGGCTCTACTGGATGCCCCTGGCTTCTGAGGTTGTGCATACCTTGGAGTGTGCTGGTCTCATCTGAGGGTGAGGCCCAACCTTCTGTGCTTCTCAGAGAAGGACTGGGGACTTTCCCACACTCCTCCAACCTTAGTGGAATCCCGACAACCGCTTTCCATTTGGGGAGGGGCTAGGAGCACCACCTCACCTTGCTCCCTTCTCCACATCTGCAGACTTCAAAGATTTCCTCCTTCAAAGGAGACCTGCTAGGGATGTAGCTCAGTGGCAGAGGATGGGCAGATCTCTGTGAGTTCAAGGCCAGCCTGTTCTACATAGTGAGTTCCAGGACAGCTGGGGCTTACAGGGAGATCCTGCTTCAAAAACACCAAAAAAAAAACCACCCCCCAACCCCCCCCCCCAAAACCAAAAAAAAAAAAAAAAAAAAAGAAAGAAAGAAAGAAAGAAAGAAAGAAAGAAAGAAAGAAAGAAAAGAAAAGAAACTGAGACCTTTTATTTCACCCTGATCAACCATAGCAGGACCTGGGACTTTTGAAAAGAGAAAAGGAGAAGGGGCAAATGTCACGTACCTTTAAGGTGATTTCCATTTTAGGGGTAAGGAAACTGCTCCTCCTTAGGCTGCCCTCTGCAGCAATCCTAATCCACAGAAACTCCTTCCCTTCCCTGCACCAGGCTCCCTGCCTGAGCCCACCCTCTCTTCTAAGCACCACTCACTGCTTACCTTTTCCAAAGGAGCAATAGGTTTGTCCAGCACATTCAGCTCAACCAGTTGTCTTCAAGAAACAGGGACTGCATTCTGGGAGATTGGGGGAGTGCTGGATTTCTGGGACCCTGAGGTCTGAGATTGACGTTTTGTGAAAGCTTGTGCAAGGCAGGAAACTGGGAAGATAAAGGATGGGATGAGTTCTCAAGTCTGCCCAAAGACTGCAAGCAATAGGATTCTTTGAGCTGTTGCTACAGGGAAGAGAAGAGAGATGGGTTAGGGAACCTTCAAGTTACTGGATTGGGGAAAAGCTGGTAAAGAAGTTGCCCTAGAGTAGGTTCCTCCTTCAGAGAGAACGCAGAGTGCCTCTGCCCCAGGCTGAAAGCTTTTCCACTTACTAGCACAAATGCAGTGGATAAGAGTACATTTAGGCTTAAATCAGGTTGCTGCCTGAGGGCCCAATGTAAGTTCTAACTTTAAAGAAACACAGAGGGGCCACAAGGACACCTTCTCCTCCCTCAGTTGAGAAAGAAACAGTGGGTGGCTAAGGCCCTGCAAATATCAGCCCAGCAACTTCCTGTGTGGCTTGGGCAGTGGGAAGCATGAAAAAAGAAGGCTCTCCCATCTGCAAATGGTATCTGCTATAACTGAAAAAGGGATTGATGGGAAATAACCAAATCCCAGCATGCTAGACGGACATAGGGAGAGATGGCCAGGCCAGCCAGGATGCCCAGCAGATCTGCCTGCATCCACCTAGAGGCATGGCATGAACTTGCTGATTGGTAGTGACTGCTTTTGAAATTTCTTTGTCAAAACCACCAAAAAACAACAAAACACTCCATCTACTAGCACTGGTAAAGGAAGTGAAGAGGAAACTAAGGGGCTGAGGAAGTAACGATTCTCAGCCAGGAAGTGAATTTGTGATAGGGCATGCTACCTACCCGGAGTGGAGCTGGGGATTCTTGAAAATCTCCACATAGATACCTCTTGTGAGACATGAAGGAACTACTTAACTACATTTGAGGAAAAAATGAGTTACATTACTTCTCAGCATTGAGATTTAGGTCAACAGGACTTACTACCAAAATTCTCCCTCTAGAATGCATTTACCTGCTGGAAATGTTTGAGAAATCTTTGTTTAAGTCACTGTTACCGTTATCAGCCACATCGATCGTATCTCAGCCTACAGGAAACCCACTTCGGATAAACAGGGCGAAAATGTCACTTGATCCCCGCCTTTCTAATGCTCACAATCCAATCAAGGAAACAGCACTCAAATAACCTGTCACATTTACTCTTCGAGTGTGTGTTTTGAATGAACGCCTGCTACAAGCATGAAGTATACAGGAGGTAGAACAGCTGAGGCTCACAAGACACCTTGAAGGAAAGCTGCCGATGAGGTAGAAAAACACAAGGAAGGGGTGCAGGGAGAATTCCAGCTTTGTTTGGGAGGGCAGGCAGTCACTGAAGAAGAAGGCAGAGAGCACTAAGACAGGAAAAATGACAGGAACAAGATAGAGTAGAGCCACAGGGCCACAGAGTGTTGTAGATGCTGGCCAGGTGGGTGAGTGAGTAGGGCTGAAATCCAAGCCACCTGGAAGAAAGCATTACTTTTTCCTTGTCATAAGCGTGCTCCCTGTGAGAACTGTTTCTAACTCGTTCAGAGACCATCTGCAGACCTTGAAGGCCACCTCATGATGGCCCTGGATGCTGCCCCACTGACAATAGGAACTAGAGAGGTTCTGTGTAAGGTGGCAGCCATGGTGGAGCAGAGGTGGTATGGCAGAGATGCAGTTCATGGAGAGAGCAAGGCAAGCAGGCTAGGGAGAATCTAGATAGAGTCTAACTCCAACAGACAGTAAGAATGGAAAAGAGCAAAGGCCATGCACTAGAGGGGAAAGCAGGGAACACCTCTGTGTTTAAGTTCACAAGGGTGCCCAGGAGAGGAGAGACCACTTGGATAGCATTTGTGAGGTCCTATGTTTGATCCCTATCAGAGAAAGAGAGAGGTCAAGGTGGGAGGGCATATAGCAGCTCCAGCTCTCAGCCTTATAGAAGAGGCTGTCATATTGGTCTGTGGGTCTCCACAGAGTAGCACAATGCTCAGCACAGAATCCTAATTCACTAATAAAATTTGCCAGATAAATGAATAGAAAGTCTGTAGCTCAGATATCACCATCTCTGGGGCCTTCCCAGGTGCCTTGACAATACTCTCAAACCACTAGAGATGGCTCTCTGAAGGCTCCTGTTGGGATGGCCCATATCATATATATAAAATATGTGCATATATAATATATATATATTGGGCCTAATGGGGTACCAACTAAGATGTGCTGAATGAATATGTTATTGGAGATGACAGGAAGATAGGACTTTAAAAATAAGAAGAAAAAGCAGGCTTTAGGTATGTTGGGTTGTTGGTTTGACTGTTCTGGACAGGAATTTCTAGTACTCTGAGAAACACAGACCTCTTTTAATACAGAAATGATACAGACCCTGACTCACACACAAATAAAATACAACTTGATAAAAAGAAATAGAAGACTTTCATACAATGTGTTCAATAAAGCTAAAGGGGAAAGCCAGGTGTAGTGGTGCACACCTTTAATCCCAGCTCTCAAGAAGCAGAGGCAGATGGAGCTCTGAGATCAAGACCACCCTGGTCTACATAGTGAGCTTCAAGGCAGCTGGGGCTACAGGGAGACCCTGTCTCAAAAAAAGGGGCAGGGGAGGAATAGCCAGATATGGTACAGCATGCCTTTAATACCAGCATTCAGAAGGCAGAGGCAGGTAGATCTCTATAAGTTTGAGCCAGCCTGGTCTACATGGCAAGTCCCAGACTAGCCAGGGTTGCATAATGAGACTGTATCTTTTTAAAAAATGAAGAAAAGAGGGGCTGAAGATACAGCTCAACAGCTAAGTGTCTTTCCTGGTCTTCCAGAGGACTTGAGTTTGGTTCCCAGCACCTACATCAGGTAGTTCACAACCACCTGTAACTCCAGCTCCAGAGGATCTGATGACTTCTTATGACCTCTGCAGGCATATACACAGACACACACACACACACATAATTGCATAACATTACAAAAATACATACACGTAATTGAAATTAATATTTTAAATATTTTAAAAATGAGGGGGGTATATCGGTTGGGTGTGGTAGCCAGCCCTGTAATCACAGCAATTTCAAGGTGGAGGCAGGAAGATCAAACTCAAGATCATCCTCAACTACAGAGGTATTTCCAGGCCAATCTGGGCTACAGGAAACCTTGTCTGAAGAAACACACACACACACACACACACACACACACACAAACACACACACACACGCACACACACACACACAAATGGGGCTAACATAGCTTTCTTTCTTAATATGAGCAATGATGAGGATATATGTGTATGTGTGTGTACATACTGATATATATACCCATATATATTTGTTTTGTAAGCTAATTTTTTGTCTTTTTGAGATAGGCCACCCTGTAGCCCCAGGTAGCCTGGAACTCACTATGTAGACCAGGCTGGCCTCAAACTCAGAGATCCTCCTGTCTTTGCCTCCTGAGTGCTGGAATTATGCCCAGCGTAAGCTATGTTTTAATTCATCTGTTTTAACCTTGTTAAAACCATTTTAACCATTTATTTATTTTATTATTATTATTACTATTATTATTGTTGTTGTGTGTGCCTGAGTGCGGATACTCAAGTGCCAGGGGAGCATGCATATGAAGATCAGAGGACAGATTTTTAGGAGTCGGTCCTCTCCTTCTACCAAGCGATTCTGGGATCAAATTCCAGGTTGCCTGGCTTGTACAACAAGCAATTTTATCCACTGAGCCACCTTGCCAACCCCTCTTCCTTATTTTTATTTATTTTATTTATTTACTTTATTTGTTGGAGAAGAAACTCTTAGGTCTAAGTAAAAAGATCGTTTTGGGATATCCCTGTGAGTCCTTTGCTGGTTTTCCCCCCACCCTCTCACTGAGGGTTAGCCTTGGTGTGCTGGTTGGGGCTGGTAGTCATAATTAGGGACTGCACAACCTCTGGAAGATGGAATTTGGCTTGGTGGACTTGTGGGCATCCACGGATACCCCACATCCCTCACCCACCCCTGCGTGGTCTATGGGATCTTTGCAGTCACTCGAGCTCCACTTAGCAGACATCTGTTTGTTGAGCTGCAAGAACAGAATTCTGAGGTAGTCACACTGAGGGCCCAGCCCTAACACTGGAGGGGCGAGATCGCATTCCTGGAGCGGAGTCAGGTTTCAGAGCCTGATCCACAGCAGGCTGTGCTCAGCAAGGGGAGCCGAGCTTGGCTCCCGAGGTTCGGTGGGAAATCTAAACTCTGGCAGCTCAGCAACATGGTAATCTTATCAGGGCCACAGGGGAAAGTATTTCGGGTACAGAAAAATCTCAAGGCAGCTCTGCCTTCCTCGAGTGATAATGACTGAGGTTTGCAGTACCCACCCGGCCACCCCTACCTAACTTACTAGAATGAAAAAGTCACACAGCCCTGGGAGAAATAAGACAGTCCCTAATTGCCTCTACCATACTGGGAAGGAGCAAACCCAGGCACTGAGGTATGCAGGGGATGTGGGTGCAGCCAGACCTTTGGAAAGCAACAGCATTCAAGTCTCCTCTTATCTGGGGATTAGTTTAGCTCATGCCTTGAGAAGTCAGTCACGGGAATGGGTCTCATAAAGTTCATCACAACAGATCATGCACCTCACAGTCCACCTTCAGGGTGTCAGGTGGATGCTTATCTCTGTGTGCAAAGACAGTACAGTGATACCAGTCACAGTACAAATATTTGGCCACCCTCATCAAATGTATTGGCCCAGGACCTTCCACAAACTCATCTCCCAAATGGATCTGAGTCCCATCAGAGAAGACATTGCTTTTGCCCTTTGGAGTTTTGGGCAGTGAGCTTCCCACCTTTGGGGGTCGGGGGAAGGGGGTGGTTCTGAATATCTCTTGCCTGAGAACTGTGGAGGCTAACTGCTGAACCCTTTGGGCTCACCCTGTAAACTCACGTGTTTGGACGGATTAAATCCTGTTCTAGGGAGTTTCCAGCCACCGCCATTCAAGACTTAACTCCCTAGGAGAGTGAGGTGGGCATGCACGGCCCTTACCTCTGTAAGAAACCCCTCTGAGAGGCCACTAAAGCACATCGTTAAGGAACAGTAGGAGCATCCATCTGGAAAGTCGACATTGGGTGTCTTCTTCAATCATTGTCAACCTTATATTTTGAGAGAGTCTCTAACTGAATCTAGAACTCACCAATTCAGCTAGACTCCCTGGCCAGCAAGCTCTAGGGATCCTTCTATCTCTGCCTCCTCAGTGCTTGGGATTATGGCACATGCCACCATGCCAGGCTTTTTTTAATGTGTGTGCTGGGGATGGAAGTCAGGTCCTCCTGCTTGCACAAGCACTTTAGCCATTTAACTAGACTTAACCAACACATACTGACCCCTTACTACCTGATAGGTACTAGAGTGCTAGATGTGACTGTATCTTTCACATTGCTCTAAGAGGAGAAACAAGCACCTAAGCCATTGATTGCAGAACAGGATGAACACTTGCCCCACTGGAGGCCAGGCACCACACACAGCCTGAGGCTCAGGGAGGGCTTCCTGTGACAGATGACCTCTGAGTTGAGTGTTGAGGGAGGAATAGGAGTTAACCAGCTGCAAGAAAATCAGGAAGAGTATATTCCAATGAGAGGAAAACAGCATAGAATAGGAACTACAAGCAGTTGATTCCTGGAAGGTAAAATGAGATAAAGAGATTTGAGAGGGAGGACTAGGTGGGGGAGGCAGAGAGATGTGAAAAAGGAGCTCTCTTCTATTTGGGGAAACAAGATCTACACACATGACAT